CAGCGCTAATCCCCTCGTCGGGGAGGAGTACAGAAATGTTAAGATTTTAAGAGCCGTTTAAGTCGACAAAAATGGCTTCGTCGTGTGGACAGGTGCAGGGTTAAATCGATCTAACGCTGCTAAATTCGACCTAAACTCATAGTGTAGACCAGGGCTAAGTATAAAGAAGTCAAGGGAAGTTGGATTATACCCCAAGATCTCAAGAGCTGTCAATCTAGCACCATTCCCCATTGCTAAATTCAATTAATCAAATGTATCTATGGAAGGAGTCACTATGGGGTGCTGTTAGTTTGTAAAAGATATTTTTCTTAGTGCGTGAGTAAGGCCCAGTCTTTGAAGAAAAGCTGTAGTGTTAGTCTTCTGATGCACATTTTTGGGGAGGGGAAGGGCTTTTCAAACAGCAGCAACATTTGCTCTCTGTTTAATCTCTCTAGATTAAGCTCCTTGGGAAGAAGGCATTGGCATTGGCTGAGATTCCTGAAAGAGGAGTTTGCCTGCATGCTGTTAATCACTGATAATCAAGTCTAAGTGCTTAGACCTGCTGTGGGACAATGTTTCTGTGGAAGAGTCTGCCCAGCCTGCACTAGCAGTGAGCTTCCCCCACTGAGAGCTGAGACCACTGAGAGCTGAGTGGAACCTCAAGAGACCAACTTGCAGAGGTCACAGTGGCAGATGCAGAAGTTGACGGCACAGGGCCAAGGGCAATGAAGCGGTGGAGTGAACGATGGCACGACGAACAACAGTGGCCAGAGCGAGCAGCCAGTGGCTGGAAGAACAAGCAAGGTGCCTTCTGCCCTCCCCCCGCAATTGGAGGTGAACTCACACAAAAGCACCCCTTAACTCTGGGTCTCCACTGACCAAGGACCACAACGGTGAGTGGGGTGTGGTAGAGGGAGAAGGGAGAGGCATGTTAAAGGAACATTTGGACTATGTTTTAGTGACTTTGCTCCAGAATGCTAGATTTCTGGCTGGGAAACTTGTATAAATATACATTTCCTAGTAGGCCAAGATTTTTAAAATACATTTGCCAAGATCGTTATCTCACACTGTCACTATCTCAAGATATCATGATCTTGGAGTTTCTGTACTAAATATTTTTATTATTATAATTAGGTTTTACATAAGAACGGCAATACTGGGTCAGACCAATGGTCCATCTAGCCCAGTATCCTGTCTTCTGACAGTGGCCAATCCCAGGTGCTTGAGAGGGAATGAGTAGAACAGCCAAGCATCAAGTGGTCCATCCCCTGTCATCCAGTCCCAGCTTCTGGCAAACGGAGGCTAGGGACACTCAGAGCATGGTGTTGCACCCCTGCCCATCCTGGCTAATAGCCATTGATGGACCTATCCTCCAGAAACTTATCTAGTTCTTTTTTGAACTCTGTTATAGTGTTGGTCTTCACAACATCATCCCCCGGCAAAGAGTTCCACAGGTTGACTGTGTATGTGAAGAAGTACTTCCTTTTGTTTCTTTTAAACCTGCTGCCTATTAATTTCATTGGGTGACCCCTAGTTCTTGTGTTATGAGAAGGAGTAAATAACACATCCTTATTCACTTTCTCCACACCAGTCAAGATTTTATAGACCTCTATCCTATCCCCTCTTAGCCATCTCTTTTCCAAGCTGAAAAATCCCAGTCATTTTAATTTTGCCTCATACGGAAGCTGTTCCATACTCCTAATCATTTTAGTTGCCCTTATCTGTACCTTTTCCAATTCCACTATATCTTTTTTGAGATGGGGTGACCACATCTGCATGCAGTATTCAAGATCTGGGCGTACCATGGATTTATATAAATGCAATATGATATTTTCTATCTTATCTATCCCTTTCTTAATGATTCCCAACATTCTGTTCGCTTTTTTGACTGCCGCTGCACATTGAGCAGATGTTTTCAGAGAACTATACACAATGACTCCAAGATCTCTTTCTTGAGTGGGGTAACAGCTAATTTAGACCCCATCATTTTATATGTATAGTTGGGATTGTTTTCCAGTGTGCATTACTTTGCATTTATCAACACTGAATTTCATTTACCATTTTGTTGCCCAGTCACCCAGTTTTGTGAGATCCCTTTGTAACTCTTCACAGTCTGCTTTGGACATGTCTGCTTTGGACTTAACTATTTTGAATAGTTTTGTATCATCTTCAAATGTTGCCACCTCACTGTTTACTCCTTTTTCAAGATCATTTATGAATGTTGAGTAGGACTGGTCCTAGTACAGACCCTTGAGGGACACCATTGTTTATCTCTCTCCATTCTGAAAACTGACCATTTATTCCTACCCTTTGTCCTATCTTTTAACCAGTTACTGATCCATGAGACGACCTTCCCTCTTATCCCATGACTGCTTAGTTTTCAAAAGTCAATTTAAATGAAAAACATTTCTTAAATTGTTTGATATTTTTGTTTTAGAAATCTAGAACTGTTGTGTGTTTTGGCATAATCTGCATTATCCTTATGTTAAATTCGCATTTAATTTATTCATATGTTTTATATGTAGCAGATCAAAGTGAAAATGAAAAGACAAAAAGCAATGCAACAGTTTTTCCACTCTAAGGCCTCAAAAATCAACCAAGATGAAGAACACACTAAGAACAAAGAATATACCAACATGTCATCTGAAGGCTCACATGGTATATTAACATCTGAACAGCCTGAAGCACAAATACAGCTACCAACTTAAGAAACAGCGTCTCCAAAACCTAAAGGCAGTTCCCAGTGTTTGTCAATCAAAGTTTCCCATTTACTGAAGTTACAAAAGATGGCTACTGGTGCACTTCTTGCAAAACTCTTCCAAAGAAGGAAAGCTTCCCAAAGCTACAACTGGTAAAAGTGGTCAGGAGCTTGGTTTGCCAGACCGATCATCAAAGCCAATACTGACAAACTACATGAAAAGGCTGAAAAACACCAAGCCCCTAAGAAAGCCTTATAAGCCAATCACTGTCAAAGCCAATTTCAGTAGTACCTAATGAGGCTGTTAAGAATGCTGGATACACAACACAGTTTATTCGAACAAACATGGCTGTTGCTTCATACTTTCTTTTTAAGCAAGAGATACCCCATACTACACACTGGAGGCCAATGTTAAGTGCATTGTCACTTGTTAGGCCTTGGCTACACTTGCGAGTTACAGCGCTGTAAAGCCGCCCACAGCGCTGTACCTCACTGACCGGCTACACTGGCAAGGCATATACAGCGCTGTATCTCCCTGGGTACACCACTGCAGGTACTCCACCTCCCTGAGAAGTATAAGAGATACAGTGGAGTGGCTACGACTCTCCCCTGTGAGTGTGTACCAGGAATCAACCTGCAGCGCTGTACTGATCACCTTGTCAAGTGGCCAATCCTCTCCATTGTTGTGACCCGCTGCAGGAATGCGGAAGTGCCGGTTTCAAATCTCGTACCACAGAGAAAAAGCAAACAGTTTGCTGTTTGCTTTAAGTGAGTGAATGAATGAGCAGGGGGCCGGGAGTTTGGAACTTGCAAAATAGAGTGCTGACACTCCAAAAAGCACTCTCTTCCCCCCACACTCCCTGCCACACTCCCTGCCACACTCCACCCCCCCTCCCCCGTTTTGAAAAGCACGTTGCAACCACATGAATGCTGGGATAGCTGCCCATAATGCACCGCTCCCAACACACCTGCAAATGTTGCAAGTGTGGCCACGCCACTGCCCTGGCAGCTATCAGTGTGGACAGACTGCAGCGCTTTTCCTACTCAGCTGTACGAAGACATGTTTACCTCACAGCACTGTACAGCTGCAAGTGTAACCAAGCCCTTAATCAGGAAGTTGGATGCAAATGATCACTATCTTTCTGCAAGATCTGCCTAGCTACACTGACCCAAACACCACTCATTCCTCCCTCACTTCTCCTCTCTAGAAGAGATATCTCCCTATTAGGCATGTGGGTTACAGTTGCACTAAGAAAATACAGCAGAAGCTCAGAGTTACGAACATATCAGGAATGGAGGTTGTTCGTAACACTGAACAAAATGTTATGGTGGTTCTTTCAAAAGTTTACAACTGAACATTGTCTTAATACAGCTTTGAAACTTTACTATCTGATGAAAAAGGCTGCTTTTAGCCATCTTAATTTAAATGAAACAAGCACAGAAACAGTTTCCTTCCCTTGTCAATTTTTTTAAACTTTCCCTTTTTTAGTAGTTTATGTTTAACGCAGTACCGTACTGCATGGTATTTGCTTTTGGGGGGGTAGGGTGGAGTCTGTCTGCTTACTTCTCGTTCCAAATGAGGTGTGTGGCTGACTGGTCAGTTTGTTATTGTGGTGTTCGTAACTCTGAGGTTCTACTAGACCCAGACTCTGTGTCACTGATTTTTCCTACAATAGGTAACTGATTTGCAAGGCCCCACCATCTGCTATAGCTCAGCAGATGTAAGACACTATGCTGATACACACTATTTTAAGTGGCTAAAACAGAAGTCTGTTCTTACATTGTAGTGGCTTGTGAGTAATCCTTACACCAGAGGTTCCTCTTCTTGGTTTGAGTTAGTATATAAGCAAGATTGTAGGATTGGGCCCAGACTTTCCTAGAACAGCTAAAAGTACACTTGGAAAAAAAAAATCACGGCTGGCAGGCATGGCCAATGAAAGAAGGAAGTGGTGTTAGAAGCTGGTGTGAACAAAATACCTGGGGCCTTGCTAGGCAATTTCAGACAGTACTATAGACAGAACATGGGGTCAGTAGCTTCTGGTGAGATGCTTAAAGGCCAAAACAGAGAGACCAATGTGAATAGCGCAGGGATACCAACGTGAAAAATAATTCTGCAGTGGGAGGGAGAGGGAAACAACTTGCAGAAGTTGAAAGAGGAAACAAGGAGAAAAAAGAGGTTGTGTTATAAAAAGGGACAGAGAAGGGAATTTTATTAAGGAGCTTTTCAAATGAATTGGCCATTATCATCCATTTGGCAGTCACGAGAAGATTATTCGGCCCCTGTCAGACAGGGAAGCAATTGGAGCGCCAATAGTCAGAAAATTGTTGCCAGCTGTCAGAGCTCCAAGCCATTAGAGGGCAATGGGCCAACACGAATCAGGCTGTCAAGAAATGCATTTGCTTGTCAAGCGATTAGGGGGCAGCCCTCCAAAGTGCTCAACAGGGGCTTGGCAACAGAAACAGAGATAGACATACAAATACCCTCGAATCTAATTGTGGTGAGGACAGTGACCAGAAAGTTCTTTTTATAAGGAAATAGAAGGGGAAGGAAGCTACTGAACTGTTACCAGTAAGAATCTTAGGCAGCCGCTTGTCATTAGTGAAATTGGCCATGTGGTAACACATAGCACCTTTGATCTGTTGAGCTTCGTGTTATAAAAATTAACCAATTAATCCTCAGAACCAGGGCCAGCTCTAGGCACCAGCAAACCAAGCACGTGCTTGGGGCGGTACATTTTCAGGGGCGGCATTCCGGCCATCTTTTTTTTGCTTCGTGCAGCAAAAGCGTAGAGCTGGCCCTGGCAGCAGCAGTGCATCGTGTGCAGGGTGCACCCTGGGGCCGCTGCGGTTCACGCTGCGGGGGAGCAGCACCCGCACCTTGTGGCTGGGCCGGGCAGGTTCAGAGCACGGGACACTCGGGCTGGAAACTGCCCCACGGGGCACATGGAGCCGCCTGCAGGTGCCGCAGCCGGGGCTGCGCGAAGCGGCCCAAGCCGCCCAGGGACTGCGGCAGGGCGGCCAGAAGCAGCAGCACCAGCGGGGCCATAGAGGGTGGGGCGCTGCCGTGCAGGGCCCACATGCCGCTCTCCGGGGCTTCGCTCCATCTGGGGCTACCCTGCCCCAGCTCCTCAGCCCCCTGCCAGGGCAGTCCCCCGGCTCTAGCCTCCTGGGTCCTGGACGGTCCTGGAGGCGGGAGCCTGGCTGGAGGGACCCTGGGCTGAGGCGCGGCCCGGGAGCCCCGCTGCTTATCCCGACCCTGCCAGCGCCAGACTGGCTGGA